GGCGCACCAGGGCTGGGGTCTAAGGTTTATCTTTGGTAAGAGCTAAGTTTTGCGTGAGTCTCTAGATTTGAGAGACATCCAAATTAACTCTAGGAGAGCACCATTTTTTCTCCCCCAAGGTTTGTCGCTGGGGGTTAGTTGTTTGAGATTGTGTTTCACATCTGAATCTTGGAAATCTCACTGCTGCACGATTTCTGACTTAAGAAATAGACCAGCAGCTTTAGCCCAAGTGTAATTCAATTTAAATATTCTGCCCCGCTACCTTAAACAACCATCGGAACGAAAATACTGGTTGCATCTATCTTGAAAAAGACCAGGTGTCCCTGAAGTTTCTCCTACCCGGTCACAGAAGCTCTGTTAGGCTTCCATTGATCCCTCAGGTCCCGAGGCTGCTCCGCTCTGTCTAAAGACCCTTATTAACCAGATGCCTGTGCTCTTGTTTTTTTATTAGAGTAAAATTCTCACTTTCTGACGTGGAGAAACAGCTTCTTCCACCTGCTTCTCCAAATTAAAACTACTGTGATTTTTCTTGTTTTACATATTTAATTTCAGCATTCATATATACCACCTAATTTATTAGGATATTTTAAACATAAACTACCTATAAATTTAATGGATAGCCCTTTTGTGTTACTTATAGGTTTCTAGCAAGTACATTTTATCCAGTGTATGAAGACATTTCCATACACTGAAGTAAGTAACCCAAAAGGAAATTGAGAAAATGATTCCATGTATGATCACATCAAAAAGAATAAAATTCTTAGGAATAAATGTAATCAAGGAGGCAAAAGAATTGTACACCGAACACTACAAAACATTGCTAGAAAGACATTAAAGAAGACATAACTAGAAAAACATCACACCTTTGTAAATTGGAAGACATAATATGGTTAAGATGTCAAAACTTCCCAAAGCAATCTACAAATTCAGTGTAATCTCTATCAAAATAAAGTCCTAATAAAAAATTGTTGTTGTTTTATTTTGGCTTTAAATGAAGAATTTGCTTAAACTCTGGTGGCGGATATTGATAACAGGGGAGGCTATGTATTTGTGGGGACAGAAATTATACGGGAAATCTCTGTACCTTTCCCTCAGTTTTGCTGTGAACCTAAAACTGCCCTAAAATATTAAATCTTAATTTAAATTTTTAAAAATAAAATATAAAATGGACAAAGAACTTGAATAGACATCTCTCCAAAGAAGATATACAATGGCTAATATAAACATAAAACATGCTCAATACCATTAATCATTAGAGAAATGTAAATAAAAACCACCATGAGAGACCACACCCATTCGAAAAACTATTATTAAAAACAGAAAATGACAAGTGTTGGTGAGAATATGAAGGAATTGGAACCCTGTGCATTGCTGGTAGGATTGTAAAATGGTGTAACTGCTATGGAAAATGGTCATTCCTTTAAAAATTATACATAGTATTATATGAACCAGCAATCCGACTCCTAGGTATATTCTCAAAAGAATTGAAAGCAGGAACTCAAAAAAGATATTTTATGCATAAGATCATAGCAGCATTATTCACATTAGCCAGGTGGAAACAGCCCAAATGTTCATCATTGGATGACTAGAAAAACAATCTATGGTGTGAACACACAATGGAATATTATTCAGCCCTAGAACAGGAGGAAATTTTGATACATCCTTCAACATGGATGATCTTTGAAAAAATTATGTGAAGTGAAGCCAGTAACAAAAGGACAAATATAGACATGTGCTGCAAAATGACCTTTTGGGTCAACAATGGACTGCATAAATGATGGTGGTCCCATAAGATTATAATGGAGATGAATTCTCTGTAAGAAATGGAAAGATATGGTTCAAGAGGAATTTTTTTTTTTCCTGATGAGAACAATATCTGGGAACTTGGCAATAGATTTCCTCTCACTGCAGCTCAATTTTGAGTGTGCAGTTTACATCCCAATCAACTACTGGCCTGTTTCAGCATAAGGAGCCTATCTCCCTAGGACTACATATTCAGAGGGTTCTACAGTCCTCTCAGATCTAGCTTGATGGTCTTCAGAGTACACTGCTATAATTCTTTGTTGAGGAACTAAAATCCTATACAAGGACACAGGTCCACAGGAACCATTATAAGTATTAAGTGCTGCTGCCACTTTAGTACAAGCTTTCTGTGGTAGTGTGGAGCCAGCCTGTTCCAATACTTTGCAAATATTTTCAGATTGTATTGATGCAAAGCATGCGTTTCATTTCTTCCATCAATTCAATGCTAGAGAGAGCCCTTTTTTGCCAGATAGGGTCAATGAAACCAAAAACAAATTTCCAAAGTCAAACTATTGAGTCTTCAGTTCTACATCCTTTCCATGTTAAATACCCTCTTTTTAAAAAATGAATATCACAAAGTTCATTAATCTGACTTCTGCTCCAACATGCATAGCCAAAACCACATTGCCATGGCAATCCCTTATGCGCCTTGATTTCTTATTTCTACTACTAGAGGCCCAGTGCATGAATTCATGCATGGGTGAGGTCCCGGCCGATCAGGGCCTGGCCGGCTGGGGGAAGGGGCCATGTGTGATTGGCTGGCGGGCCCTGCCCCCAATTGGGGTTGGGGGCCAATTGGGGGTGGGGCTTGCCATGGGGAGGGGCTATGGGTGGTAGGCCGGCCAGCCCTGCCCCCGAATGGGGTGAGGGGTGCCGATCAGGGGCCAGTGGCCTGGGGGAGGGGCTGTGGG